CCACATGTCACTCAATGTCTGTCAGCACTCTTTCTGTTTCTTCCTCTTGAAAGAATCCCTTTACATCTATGGCTGAGAAGGAGAACAAACCCATTTCTAGACAGAATAAGAATAGAAAATTGCTATTTTTAAGGAAGAGGTCAAAATTATCCGCCGAACTACCATCAAAACGTTTTCAGGAGATACCTCGTGACGATCTTGAAAGCCGACAGAAAATTCTCTGTAAAAAAAAAACACTGAAAAAAGTCAAACTTGGGCACCGTCGGTATTTAGTAATTGGTTACAGTATCACAATGAGTGTGATCATGGATGGAGCAGAACGTTATTCTGAGCTGAGGAAGATTTGGTGTAGGGAGATCCAGAAAAATTTTGTAGTATAATGTGCAAATTTATTGTCGAATGTAGGCAAAAGAACGGCAGTCCATACAGTCCTAAAACCATCGTGCAGCTTTCTAGAAATCCTTCTTCGTGCCGATACATAACTCTTGCTTATTATTTATTTTATTCACTTTCATATCATCTTGTTCATATACTATTCTCTAGCTTATTTAATCATTTTAAATGAGGTGGTTGTATATTAAAGGAGTTGTATATCAACTATATACACCTGGCTTCCATTGCAGAATGAATGGGCTAAAATATACTCATAATATATATATACATATATATATAAGTGTGATTTTTGAGAAGTTCTGAGAGTTTGAGTTCTTCTGATGAGCATTAATAATCACTTCACAATACAATTGTTACTTTGTGTTCTGAGTTTCTTTTTAAGTACTTGAACAGAAAGAGTTTGGTCCCTTAATTTACATGCTCAGCCTGTTACAGACTAAATGTGTGAATGCAATTAATCATCATGCAAGTAGATGGAATTAAAGACAGAAAGGACACCAGACAAAGAAAGAGAAAATCAGAGTACAGGTATGAAGTACAGTGTCACATAAATTCAAACTAACACCATTACCTATTCCCATACAAAAAATAATGGTTGGTGTTGTCTTTACCACTCCAATTTTAGTTGCTAACTAAAATTAATAATTCTCCAACTGGATCATTGTCCTCTTTCTTTGATACAAGAGTCTGTGGCTTGCAGAGATTGCACGTGTATACTCGATACACGCATATTTATACAAAAATAAACACTTTTAATACATACCTGTACATACACGAGGCCACTAGCAGCAAGGAGATGAAGAAATCGATTATTTCGTCATAGATATTAGAGTAAATGAAAGGGATAGGAAACTTCCGTTGCGTGGGCGGATTATTTCATTAAGATTATTAGGTTGCCTAGCAACATAGGCAAGTTACCCTTCCCGGGCCTTTTCCTTCACTGTTCGGTGTCCTATTCCAACTCATAACTCTAAAGTGACTTGTATTCATCCTCTGCAATGATAATTAAAGGCATTACAGATACTTCCCTTACATTCTGTCTAATTTTTGAAGTAAAATAATATTGATAACTATGGGTAAAGTTTGATTTAGTGACCTGATACCTTCAATATTGTGGTCTCTGTACCCTTTTTTAGAATACAAAAGAAGTAATACCAGAATTAACTATTACCAACTATTCTATACATTATTATGGAGGGCACGCAACATAAATGACTCCGATGACAGATTTGGTGACTGATTTATAATCGATTCAAAGTTTTTGCAAAGACCTTCGTTTTGTACCTTTTTCTTTACAGTTCAATGATTGGCACATTAAAATGTGATATGAAAGCAAAGCTCGATGTACACTTGAGGGCACGCACATACTTTAATGTATGTGACATAAACACTATTTGAGAAAAACCATTATGAAGTTGTAGTATTCCATAATGTTTGGTAATTTTCTTAATAAATCCTATTGTAAAATTGAAAAAATTCCTATAAATAGAGAAATTATCCTGGTATGGGTAACTAGCATTTCCTGCCGCAAACGAAAGTTTCCAATCCCTTTCATTTACTCTAATATCTATGATTTCGTCATATACTTTAGCCACGCCCACTCGTAGCATGTGTTTGCAAAAGAATATGGCAGAATCTCAGGCAGACATGGCAGAAGAACTACTTGAATCTGACTCTGGTAGTATCGATCACTGATACAGATAATCCTGCATCTGAGAAGGTTTTTGTTATGTCCACTTGCAATTAATTTTTATTTTTGCTTAAACAATATCTGTTAGCCATACAGGGTGGTTTATTGTGAAATTGGGGAATTATGATGGAGAAAACTTAAGTTCTAGCGTGGAAGATACCTGCCTGAGTTGGCGTTAAGAGCTTGGTGAGGTCTTTTGGTCTTTCAATTTTCTTTTAGTTCACTATAGCTTTTTATGCCTTTTTTGGAGCTGGTGAAGCCACAGAAAATTAAAAAAGGCTAAAGAAAATTGAAAGACCAATATAGCTAATTGTGTCCTTGCAGTTCTTGTTCACGTACTTAAATTTTGTTTCTATCATTCTTTTGTCAGTCTTACTCTACTATAAAGGTTGCTTCAGTAGTTGGAGCCAGTCCTTCAACACTTCTATCCTGTCCTATCTCTTATTTTACTAATCCTTACTTTTTGTCCTGTGTGTTAAAGTCATAATAATAATAATAATAATAATAATAATAATAATAATAATAATAATAATAATAATAATAATAATAATAATAATAAACCCATTATATACCACAATGGCGAGTATTGACTCCACGGAAGAATCTGGCCCAGCTAAAGGCAGGCCAAAAGTGCATATTGATAGAGAGAGGGTGGAACACTTAAGGTCCTTAAAGTTTATGTGGGAAGATATTGGAAACCTACTTGGCGTTTCTTCTAAAACCATTCAGAGAAGGTCAAAAGAGTGGGAAAAGAAGTCATTTACTGAGATATCTGATGCAGATTTAGATGCTTTAATATCAGAGGTACTACAGCAATTTCCACACTATGGAGAGGCAATGATCAGGGGCCATTTACATTCGCAGAAGGTTAGTTTCAGTGATACAGGCTCCAATTAGATTTAGTAGTGTTTGACATAATTAAAGTCTATTCACTGACCCCTGGCTTTTTTCAATTAATAAATACTATGTCACATCCGCATTCTTTACGTATTTGTGGTGGTTTTGGAATTGTTTTTGTTGCACAGAAGGGATGCAGATAAGTAGCAGCTGAATTTATTCTGGCTGTTCTAGCTGCATAATTGCGGTCAAAGGCATGTCATTGAGTTTATACAGGGACATCCAAAAAGGCTAAGGCCTTGTCATTTTGACCCAATCTTTTTATCTAAAGGACAGGAAGGACCTAGCGATTCTAATGGTGCAAACAAAATTTCTAAATTCCATGTTAATCAAAAGTTATAACAAAAAATCAATAGGTCAGGTGAAACTGAATTGAATTTAGTGAATGATTGATTTATAATTTTATATCAAACCGTACTGATCTGTATTAGGCCTGTAAGTATGAATCTAATTGGGGTGGCCTGCATGATTTTATTTCATTAACAATTAATGTTAGATGTGGGCTTTTAGTTTCAGGCTAAGATTCCATTTTATGGTATGTCATTTTATATTTCTACAGGTACTTATACAAAGAGCTCGCATGAGAGAAGCAATATATAGAGTCCGAGGAAGGCATACCATTGCTCACCCGATTCACCATCGAACATACAGTGTTTCAGGTCCTAATGCCTTGTGGCACCTAGACGGTAATCACAAGCTGATTAAATGGCGATTAGTTGTCCATGGCTGCGTAGATGGCTTTACCCGCTTGATTACTTTTTTAAAGTGCTCAAACAACAATAGATCTGACACTGTTCTTGAGTGTTTTATTAATGCATCAGCTGAATACGGTCTTCCATCAAGGGTTCGTACTGACTATGGTGGTGAAAATGTTCGAGTTTGACAGCATATGGAGGAAATTAGAGGGCAAGGCAGAGGTTCATTCATTGCTGGATCAAGTGTACATAATAGCTGGATTGAAAGGTTGTGGAGGGATGTTCACTCATCAGTTCTCTCTACATATAAAGCAGATTTTCATGACTTAGAAGAAAGAGGTATACTTGACTGTGAAAATGAAGCAGACATTTTTGCATTGCATTACGTATTTATACCTAGAATTAATAAGTCAATGAAATTATTTCAAGAAGCTTGGAACTCGCACCCTTTATCAACCGAAAATAACAAGTCTCCACTTCAGTTATATCATAGCTATTCCCAAGGTAGTTCTTTATTCGATGAAACAGTTGACCCTTCAGTTTATGGTCGTGAAGAAGAGGAAAATGAAGAGATTAATGACGGTGAGGATAATCAGGATATGGATACTGTTGTTGTTCCTACAAATCTGGTACAACTTAGTGAAAATAGTTTGAGCCTACTGCAATCTAACATCAACCCTTTAGATCATTTTAATAATAATGGACAGCAAATTTTTGTTAATACTGTTGCTCTTTTGTTTACTTTGATGCAAAGTGATAATTTATTGTGATATTAGACATAATTAAGTACTTAAAACTTTTTACTATGAATTGCATTACAATAATGAGCCTGTGGCAAAATTGCAAGATTTAACGTCAACTCAGGCATTTCTGAGTACTCTGCAAGCTAGAACTGGGGCTTTTGCACCAATGTTTAAGCATTAATGGTAGATAAGTTGCAAGCAGAAAAGTATAACGAAAAAATCAAATGAACCAATATTATTCCCACTTGCAATTAACTTTTAATTTTGCTAAAACGGTACGTGTTAGCTGTTTATGGTGAAGTTGGTGAATTGTGTTGTAGAGAACTGCCTGAGTTGGTTAAAATACTCAGCATTGCCCAGCCTGAGTGGGCGTAAAATGATAAGAACCAGTGGGCGTGGTAGAAGCATCAACCACCAGACTAAGCCGGCCAGTTACCAGGAGCACGTGCTCACTATAGTCCATGCCGATCTGTTTAGTTTGAGTTTCGTCAGTTTGTCTTTGAGACTTTCGCTCTCTTGAGTTTGTTGTTTGTTAAAATGGCCAACTTTGGTGATTTGACTCAACAGTCAGCAGTAGATGCTCTTGCTGGTGCCCTTGTGAATGCTGTGAGGAATTCGTTTGAGCAGTCCACACCTCCTGCATCTCATTCTCAGCCACCACTCTCGGGACCTCGCTCAGGAGAAATGCCTTCTGGTAGTGGTCACAGTAGTACTCTTACAAAGAATAATACAGAATACCAAAGAGCGTTGTGTCACAACATGAAAAAAACCAAATTAGCACCACCATCTTTATTTAGCCAGAGCCCGCGTTCAAGTTTTTAGAAGAAGAAGAAGCCAGCACCTAGCAAGTCAACGACATATACTCGAGACATTATCCTATTACCAGAAGAATTTAAAACTGAAAGTGGTAGTATTAGCATTCCACGTTCTACTAGATGGGAAGCACTTGGCAAAGCTGGGCTAGTAGGAAAAGTTGAGTTAACGTCAGATATGAATGAAGATGAGGTTCGTACAGAGATATGTGAAGTATTTGCAGCACCAATGGGCTTGACAGTTGATGATATCAAGACTGGAAAGAGATTTAATTATACTTATTTGCTGCGGTCTGGCTGTAATAGTAGATCATTGTGTGTACCTACTGTAAAAGATACTTTCCAGTGGACTGGAAAACAGGTCGCTTCGCTTGCCAAGTCTGGATCCTTCATTTATATACTTGCAAAAGAGTTGCTCCCTGCTTGGGAAAGCTTTGTAAGTTTTAATTGTCTCTCAATGATATTTATAATTATGTTGATTTATCAATATTTAGATGGAACCGATTGATGTCATTAGTGATGATGATGATAGAGATTTAATGCCTCTTCCAAAGAGATTTTTTAGTAGAAGGTTTGTAACAATTACTTTTGATCAATTTTATTGTTGTGATTACAGTAATGATGTTAGTGTTAAAGATGATGGTGATGATGATGACATCATTATCACAGAACTGCCTCCATCGGATAATCCTTCACCAACTTCAAGTGGTAATAATTTGATATTGCCAACATCCCAGAGTCAGTCTTTGAGCTCATCACTGGATACAGTTTTTCATCCTCCTTACCTTTCATTTCCCAGTTCTTCTAACTCATCTCAAGGTATGAGCCAACTTCTGGATATGTTTAGCAGTTCACTGACTGAAAAGCAAATTGAAGCAATTTATTTGCTTTCAGGATCTAATTATGCAGCATCAGTTTCGTGTCTAGCTGAAGGACCTACACTTAGCTCTATTCAACAGATGTGTAAATTACGTTTCTCTAATTTGCCTAGCAGAAAGGTAGCAGTGAATTCTGACACCCTTTGGGAAGATATGGTTGCTGAATACAAAGGAGGAGCAATTTGTCACTCAAAGTTAAGGATATCAATAGACAACCAACCTGCCATTGACACTGGGGGTGTGCGTCGACAAGTGTATACCACGATTTTCCAGTTATTTGCTTCAAATTCTCATGTTCATTTATTTGATGATCCTTCAAATTGTGTGCGACCTTCCTCCTCAGCTATAGCTAAGCTTTCAGGCTTACTTAAAATATTGGGTACAATGATTGCCCACTGCTTTTGCCAAGAAGGATTCGGATTCCCATACTTATCTCCTGTATGCTACCTATATAACTGAAGGGGAGCAGAGAGCATTGGAGTGTTGCTCTAATCAAGACTTAAGTGCTGATGCAGCTCATGTGGTTTCCAAAGCAAATAATTGTCAAATTCATTTGTATATTTTTTATGCCTCACAGCTTAATGATTGTAAGTCTAGAGAAGAATTGAATGACCTTATTGCTACAGAAGTGTGTCAAGATGTTATGCAACGATGTGGGATTACTCAAGTACTACAGGTATTCTCACCCCTTGTAAAAAGTCCCTCTTTAGCAATTCAAGCATTATTGTAGTTCAGACAAAAATGGCAGAACAAGACAGAATTTGGTCTGACAATTGAGCAGTATGGTCAGAAAATGTTTAACTGTTATTCAGTTTCAGTCTTTGTTTTTATAAGCATTTGTGTAGTATTACAAATCTTATGCAATAATGCCTTTTTCCATTTTTATGCATGTTAGTAGCAAGTTTTTCTTGTTTATTTAACTTGTTATCTCTTTACTTTATTGCAGATGGAAAACAAAGATTTAATTGGACAGTGTATAATAACATATGAATCTGTTGAGAAGATTTCCAAATCTCTAGCTCAATTGTCTAATGGATTAAATTCTCTGGATTTTTTGAAAGCAATTCAGGCTTTTCCAGATTTGTTTGTTAGTGTTCTCACCTATACTGCTAACATTACTACACAGGATGTTATTGAATCTGTCTATATGCTAGAACCTGCTGATGATATATAATTATGAGTCACTTGAAGCGATATTTATGTGAATTATCTGAAGATGGTAAGATAGTATTGCTTAGATGGTATTGCTTTTTATTTTATTTATGTGAATTATATAGAACTAAAAAACTTTTTGTTGCACACAACTGGCTGTGTCTATCCACAAAGAAAATCAATTATGGTGGAAGTACATGAGCAAGATATTTTCACCAGCCACACTTGCAGTAGAGTATTGTCGTTTCCAAAGAATGTATTTGACAGATCTGAAGAGTCCTATTGTACTTTTCGTGATGGGTTTTCTGCTGTAATAAGTGATACCTCTTTCAACAGTGTTTAATTAATGTTGTCAGTGAAGATTGTGGTCCATTCATTTATTCATTGTATCATTTATTCTGCAAAATATACTTTCATTCCCCATAGAGCTGCTAGGGTGGTGTAAGCAGAATAAGTAACAGTATAATGGAATAGCTCCGCTCTTGTGGCAAGGGGTGTGGTGAAACTAATTATGATATCATACATAGGATGACCCAATTCCAAGAGGGTATATATGCCATAAACATAAATTTTCAGATACTTAATAAGTAGCTAGTATGTAACAACATAAATAGCCTTCAAAAATTAGGAGTATTATCATAATGTAAAAAATAATGATAAAACATTGATAACATTAAACAGTCAAATATTTTATTTGTTCACGATTTTGATACAATACCTTTCCTTTTATAGGCTCTATTTCCCCTTCTTTTCCCTTGTTTGGTCCTAATGATGACAATAAAATGAACAGCTCTTTGTATACCCCAAAACTTAGCCCCGGACTACCCAAAACTCACCGTCATGGAGCAAACACACTCAATGCTAAGATTCTCTCAGGGCTGGCATCATAGTGTTCAGTGTAGTGAAAAATAACTTCAAAATATTAAAGCGGAGCATTTCAAATCCTTTACAAGTCTTGAAGTCTAAGGAATAATTATTAGTACAATTTTTCGCCATTTTATTTTGTTTGTTATCGACACGTCTCCTATAGGTGGGGCAGATCACGTGACAACTTTGAGCTTATAATGAGTGATGAGCTCGGAGTAAAACTCCTACTTATAAATGGGAGGAGGAGCTCTTATTTATATATATGGCAGCTCATATTCATATACAGTAGCTCCTATTTGTATATGGCAGCTCATATTTGTATATAGGAACTTTTATTTGTATATATGATCTCCCATTTGTATATAGGAGGTCCCATTTGTATATAGGAGTTCACATTTGTATATAGAAGCTCCCATTTGTATATAGGAGTTCCTATTTGTATATAAAAGCTCTCATTTGTATATAGGAGGTCTTATTTGTATATAGGAGCTCCCATTTGTATATAGGAGGTCTTATTTGTATATAGGAGCTCCCATTTGTATATAGGAGGTCTCATTTGTATATAAAAGCTCCTATTTGTATGTAGGAGCTCCCATTTGTATATAGGAGCTCCTATTTGTATATAGCAGCTCCTATTAGTATATGGCAGCTCATATTTGTATATAAGAGCTTCTATTTGTATATAGGAGCTCTTATGAGCTCCTATTTATATATAGCAGCTCCTATTTATAAATTTGAGATGCGCCTTACCAAAAAAAATTTTCTCTTATCAATAGATGGCTTATTGTCCCGTTTGGCGCCCCATAATTTTCATCTTTGACACTGTCACTATTCTCACTATCCTCATCTTCATATGAGGAATACAAGAGATCAGCACCAATTTTATTTATCTGTCACCAATGACAGACAGTCCTTATGCTATGTTCTGTCATAAAAAATGAACAAAAAATTTAACCAAGAGGCAGAGGTCATGAGTAAATTTCTTAAAAGCATTGAAGATAACAAAGAAGCAAAAGTGAATGAAATCAAGAATGCATGATTTTTAACTGAATGACATATTATGAGATGTTGCAGATACATCTGTCATCTCACTTCTTTCATGTCCTTTACCTTTAGGGTGAAGTCAGGACAAGATAATAATCGATATTTAAAATTAAGCAACCTATGAAGATCATGGTAAGGGGAGTTCATATGAGGTTATTAAATAAGAGGCAAGGAGTGGTAAGTACTTAAAGGCCACTTAAAGGGTAACTTCAGTGCATTTTTGAGATATTTTTTTTATTTGCTTAATATAATTGCCTGACCATACTAATGATGTGTTCCAACTCCCATTGTCTGAAAAAAATTATTCACTGAGATATGAGCCTTCAAAAATGCCCATTTTTCCTTCCTGCCAGGTTACTTCCTGTCGGTGGGTGTGGCTAAACGTGACGTCACTAGAGGGATAGCTGCAGCTAAATCCATTCCTTTATAGGGGGAAATAATCCTTTATTCTCTTGCCTAGTAATGTAATAGCACTAATTTAAAGATTGTAATCATTAGCTTTCCTTATTCTAAGCATGCTACTGCAAGAAAAAGTCATTATACCACACTTTGGTGAATCTTCTTGTTAGCTATTTTG